ATTTTGGTCAATGACATGAGACAAAGTATATGTGAACTGCTGTATGAAAAGTGAATTTACTCTGTAAATCTTCACCCAAATCCTAAAAAAAAAAAAATACTGAATTGACAGGGGTTGCTCTATAATTAGTTTTCCCAAGTCTGATCAAGTGTCAGAATATGCAAGTACTTATTTTTTAAAAAATTTACCTTTACCCACTTTGTGTAAACAAATGACAGTTTCCAAGTTCAAATCAAACTGAAGGGATTCATACGTGAGGGCACACTTTCAAAATTAATCCATCTTCCAATACTACATTTTCATAATTATTCACCATAGAAATATGTGACAGACATGTACATATATGACATGTATAATAGCAAACAAGAATGCTTACGTTCTAAATACATACTAGTCTGAAAACAGGTGCACCAGTATTTAGATGCACACTTTTTTCTTCTAAGCCTAATTTTGCCTGGAAATGATTTAAAAATAAACACAAATACTCGAAAAAGTTGAATAATCTTTTCAAAAAGATACAGCAATTTTTAAATCCAAGATATGGGTTCCTTTACTACCAATACTTTCCAAAAGTTAGGTTTAAACGTTCTAAGCGCATCCTTAACAGGAATGAGTCTGGCTCATTTATGAGGATGATGGCTTCTAAGTACATTTAACTTTTCCCTTGGATGAGTTAGTAGTAATAGACAAGTACGTTTTACTTCAAGTTATGCTAAATTTTTTCTCAGCCGTTCGCAAATACAAGAGAGTCTAGTTTGGCTTTTTTTGTTTGTTTAATGAGTATAAGAGGGGGAGATGTCCGGTGGAAGGCACGCTAAAAAGAAAAATGCAATTTTGAGATAAATACTCAATCAGTAAGGAAAAACTGCAAAGGATCAAGTGAATAAGGAAACATCTCAGGTAAGAAGGCACTTAAAAGTTGACAGGCAGGAAACGAAAACTTCCTAAGTAAGCCTCAAGCCGTTGGGTTTGGTAGCAGCCCAGGAAAGCAGAGTACCTGTCAAGGGGCAAGTGCTTACCAAGCCGGGGGAGGAGGTCAGAAAACCCAAATCGGAAGGCGGAGGGTGTTTAGAAAAAAATGGTAAAATGCCCATCCTACGCCCCTTACTCAGGTTCTCCACCCCAAGAAGGACAAATGAGAACAACCGCAGTGCCCATCAGCCCCACGCCGGAATCTCCACAGAGAGGCTCTCGGCCCTAAGCCCCGGAGGCCCGGGAAGGCCGCCTCCGGAGGAGCCCCCCGCAAGACGCCATACTAAAAGCCAAAATGGCTGCCCCAAGGAAGCCCGCACCGCGCAGCGAGTGAGGGTTGGGGCGCAAGCTTCTGCGGGAAAGGGGGAGGGGGACTCAGGAAGAGCCGTACCAGAACTGCCGCCCAGAACCGCACAGGTAGGTTCCTCTCGGTTGCCCAAAGCACTGGGTTCGGTCTGAGAGGAGTCCCGGCCCCACCCCCACCCCCCGGCTGAGATCCCCGCCGCCGCCGCCGCAGACTCCCCGCACACGGTCCCCAACGAGGTACCTGCAGTTCGGCCCGCTCCACCTCCCAGTGCGCCCGCTCCATCTCGAATCGAGCCCACTCGTGCTGGATGTAGTGCAGTATCCCCGGGATAGTGTACTGCTGCGGCCGGGACAGCTCGGGGCCTGCCGTGGGGCCCGCTCCCTCGGCGGCCGGAGGACCCCCGCCGCCCGCCGCTCCATTCCCCCCCGGCGAAAGGTTCATGTTCCCCCCAGGTCCCTGCTGCTGCCGGGGAGGTGCCGACATCCCCGGACCTCCACCACCGCCTCCAGCGAGCTCGTCCATTGTGTGTGGGGCCCCAGGCGGGGCTCAGGGCAAAACGCAGACAGCTGGGGAGAGGGACTGTGGAGGATAGCCCCGCGCTGGTGGCGGGGCGGAGGCCGGCCGGGAGAGGGGCGGGAAGGGGGTAGTTGGCAGTGTGCTTGCCGTGGGTCAGAGCGAGGAGCTGCCGGCCGCCGCCATTACAGTCCCTCCTCCATCTGCCCGTCTCAGTCACTCACTTTAGGGAAAGGGGGGGGGGCCGTGGCGGGAGTGGGGAGAGAGGGTAGGGTTGGAAAGGGGTAGACGTAGGGCCGTCGCTCCCGCGCTGCATGCTGGGTAGAGAACGACGCTGCGGCCGCACGCCAAATAGCCAAATAGAGTCCGGCCTTACTTTACGCAGGCGCACTGTGGGACTCATTGAGGCTTGCCGTTAGAGGGCGGGTAAGGAGCTCTGGACCCGCTCGTACGCCCACCCCCAGTCCTCTCCTGGTGTCTGGATGCGGGCACTGGGAATGGGACTCCAACTTTTGGAGGCAGTTTGACTCCTGTCTTTGAGATTATTGATTTCCTTAGAGGAGGCAGCCTTCCGGCGTCATTGCCCACTGAGGGGGCTCGGTCGCGTGCCCATCTTCGGAGCTATGCTTTAAGCAGACTGGTTACTCTGGCCGACCGCAGCCCGTCCCGGATTCTTGACGTTTCTTTTGCATTCCTTGCGTGTTTCTGGCAGTCCCAGAGAATCGGGCCTCTTTCCCTGGTTGTCACTTTCTGGTTTTTTAGCACCTGCCACTTCCCTGGTCTTTGGGATTCGACTCTTCTGGCAAAAAAAACCAGGTCCTTGTGGTCTTCGTCTCGAGCCCGAGGTTTTTTATCCGATTTCTGTGCGCCGGGTAGCCGGTCGCAACTTGTTCCACTTTGCTTACCCTCTTCTTTCCTGTTCTTCCATGAGAGTTGTGTTTTGGAGGTTTGGAAGGACAGCAAGAACGATTGTTTCTTTTCTTTTTTTCTTTTCTTGAGAAGGGAGGCACTGAAATGCTTTAGATTTTGACAGTGGTGGGTGGAGGGAAGAAGAAAACTTTGAAGGAGACTGGTTAGTTTAACGATTGACGGTTTTGGAGTGAATAAGTTCTTTCTCATAAATAATTACTATTAATGGCAGAATATTTTGATCGAAATAGAAAATAAAGGCTTCATGAATACAACTTAAAATCCCAGATAAAAGGGGAAAATGTTTTCCCAGGCCACTTAAGTTTTAGTGAATATATGCATAAAAGGCGAGATTAGTTTTTTAACTACAGTTGTGTGTATCTTTATGCACTTTAGGAGCTCTGGTAGACTAGGGCCTAAAGCATTAGACTGCTAACCAGAAGGCTGGTGGTTCAAACCCACCAGCTACTCCTCAGAAGGAAGATTGGGCGATCTACTTCCCTAATGATACTCCCCGGAAACCCAAGGAGGGGTCGCTATGAGTCGGATCGGACTCAGCGGCAGTGAGTTTGGTTTTTTGGTTTTACTTACCTAGGAAACTAATGAACTGGTGAATTTTTAAAAGTGTATATCTAATCACTTGATTGAAAAACAATACAAAAATAACACGTAACAACTGTAATAAGAAAAAGAGATAAAGTAATTACAGCTCTGCAGGAAAATTGCGTCTGAAATTAGTTGCATTTTTTTAGATTGTTTTTCTTCTCTACCACACAAGCCAGTAAAATTTTCACTAGAGAATATACACTTCCACTCTGGATTTAGTTTCAAAGAGTTAAAGTGGTGCATTTTGTCATGACTGCTTTATTGTTCTTATACTTTAGCGGAGAGTTGATTGGACTTGTTCCCCATGCTGCTGTGTTTTGTCTACATATGAAATGATAGTCTTAGATCACAGCACTATTCATTAAAAGCTATTTCCCTGTATCATTAAAGTATAATTTCCCCATTTTATAGTGACCAGCATAAAACTTGCTTATTCAATCTTATTACTTTCGGGGGAACCTCACAGCATATAAACACTTAAGAAATACCATGGTGCCTGAAGACCTATATATACTAAGAAATTTCTATAAGAAGTTATGGTTGACCTCCAAGATGTTACTGTCAAAGAAAAAGAACATACATACTTACAAAACATAAGTACCTCAAAGTCAGGGTGGTAGTTCAGTGGTAGAAGTCTTGCTTCTATGAAGAGTTCAATTCCCTGCCAGGGCACCTCAGGGGCAGCCACCACCATCTGTCAGTGGAACCTTTAATGCTGCTGTGATACTGAATAGGTTTTGGTGAAGCTTCCAGACTAAGACAGACTGGGCAGAAAGGCCTGGTGATCTGTTTCGAAAAAATCAGCTAATGGATACCCCATAGATCATGAGAGTACAAGGGGTTGCCAGGAGTTGGGGGCCAACTCAGTAATAGCCACCATTGACTCAAAAACTGAATCTGTAATGGCTCTTTTCTCCTCACCCTCAAAATCAAAACTGAAAAGTTCTCCTCTCTTGTGTCTTAGCTTCATATGTATTACCATACCCAAGCATGAGGCTTAAAGTCATTCCAGTACCTTTCACTCAGCCTCACATCCAATCTCTCTCAGTAATGTCTTCCACATCAATTCCATTGTCTCCATTCATACCTTAATTTAAACCTTCCCACTTCTAATGCTTCTGACCACTACTGCTGCTGCTTGAGTGATCTTCCTGAAAAGCAAATCCAAGCCTGTCATTCCTCTGCTTAAAATATGTTAGTGACCATTCAAAGCTTTTAGGATAAATCTCAAAATTTTAGCTTAACGTATAAAGGGCTTTTAAATTCTAAATCCTCCCTAGAGCCTAATCTACCATCATTCCATCACCCCACTCTACTCTTCTCTCCAGACAAATTGCACTTTTTTTGGTTCCTCAAATATATAATGCCACTTCATTCCATGGTGATTTAACACAAGATGTGTCCCATTGCCTTTCCTTCCCTTCTTTCTTCAAAACTCAGCTCAAGCATTACCTCCTCAAGAAGCTTTCCAAATCCCTGAATTATTTAGCAGCTATCCTAACAGCATCTCATGTTTACCTCTTAATATTTGTTATACTTTATTTAAATTATCAGAGTCCCTGGGTGATGCAAACAGTTAACATTAATGTGTTCAACTGCTAACTGATTTGAGTCCAATCAGAGGAGCCTCAGAAGAAAGGCCTGGCAATAATCTGAAAAATCAGCCATTGAAAACCCTACAAAGTTAGTTCCCAACTCGAAAGCAACTGGTTTTTCTTTAATTTAAATCATCTATGTACTGTCAGTGACACATTAAATGCTTTGAAAGAAAGGCTTAGCATGTAACAGGTGCACAATAAATCTTTGCTTCCCTCATTTGTTTATTTTAAAAATATTTGATTGGCCACTGTTTTCAGATATTCTCCTAGTCCCTGGTGATACACTGTGAACCAATCAGATGTAATCTCTGTCTTCATGGAGTTTACAGTCTAGTTTTAAGCACATATTTAAGCATCGTTTTATAAATGCTAATAATACAATCAATCCCGGCTATGTTATTCCCAGACCATAGAATCCTTAGCCATGAATCTACAAAATTGTAGAATCCTAGGGGGCAGAGCCTGTGCCGCTCTTGTTGGTAACTCCCAGTGTCTGGTACGGTGTACATCCTCAAAAAATGTTTAATTAATAAATTTAGACTAGACTAATATGAACATTTTTCCTTCACCTCATTCATTTTTACTAATTTTTGATAAAATTAAACCAGCTGTATTTTATGTTCAGTGACTGGAAGTGTCCTAGTATAAATGTAAAGAAATATCAAGGAGAATATTTTGTTTGCAGAATGTTTTGATATTTTACTTTCTGTCTGTGATACCTGGAAACACTCTGCATTGTTGTTGTTGTTGTTAAGTGCCGTCGAGTCGTTTCCGACTCATAGCGACCCCATGCACAGCAGAACGAAACACTGCCCGATCCCGCGCCAGCCCCACAATCTCTGCTATACTTGAGCCCATCATCGCAGCCACTGTATCAATCCATCTCGTTCAAGGCCTCCCCCTCTTTCTTTAACCCTCCACCCTACCAAGCATGACATCCTTCTCCAGGGAATGGTCCCTTCTTACAACATGACCAAAATAGGTGAGACAAAGTCTGGCCATTCTTGCTTCCAAGGAGCATTCTGGCTGCACTTCCTCCAGGACAGATCTGTTAGTTCTTTTAGCAGTCCACGGTACTTTCAGCATTCTTCGCCAGCACCACAACTCAAAAGCATCAACTCTTCTTCGGTCTTCCTTATTCATTGTCCAGCTCTCACATGCATACAAGGCGATTGGAAATATCATAGCTTGTGTCAGGTGCACCTTAGTCCTCAAGGAGATATCCTTGCTCCTCAGCACTTGATACAGTTCCTTTGTAGTTGACTTTCCCAATGCTACACGTCGTCTAATGTCCTGACTGCTCCTTCCGTTGGCATCGATTGTAGAACCAAGCAATGTGAATTCTTTGACAACCTCAATCTTCTCTCCATTTATTGTGATGCTGCTCATTGGTCCAGTTGTGAGGATTTTTGTTTTCTTTATATTGAGACGTAATCCATACTTCAGACTGTATTCTTCAACCTTCATCAGTAGGTGCCTTAAGTCATCCTCACTTTCAGCAAGCAAAGTTGTATCGTCTGCATATCTCAGGTTGTTAATGATTCTTCCTCCAATCCTGATACCACGTTTTTCTTCATATAGTCCAGCTTCTCGGATTATTTGCTCAGCATATAGATTGAATAAGTGTGGAGAAAGAATACAACCCTGACGCACTCCCTTCTTGATTTTAAACCATGTAGTGTCCCCTTGTTCTGTTCGAACGACAGCCTCCTGATCAAGGTACAGATTCCTCATGAGTACAATCAAGTGCTTGGGAATTCCCATTCTTCTCAATGTTATCCATAATTTGTCATGATCCACACAATCAAATACCTTTGCATAGTCAATAAAACACAAGTAAACATCTTTCTGGTATTCTTTGCCTTGAGCCAAGATCCATCTGACAACAGCTATGAT